ATATCGGCATCGGCCGATAAATGTTTCTGTTTTGCTGATGCATTCGATGCGGGACTTTTATTTTGACGCCGCTGAGAGCGGCAGTGCATGAGCGCACAGTGCTCTCATTCTCCCTCTTGTTCGCCGTCGTCGTTAACAGTTCTGTCTAATACGGCTGGGTCACCTTCAGCATGCAGTAAGTTAGTAAAATAAAGAGGGCGGCATCGCGGAAAGTTATCAGGAAAGCCCCGTCCGCGTTTGTCCGGATGTGTGGACTTACTTCGGATTTGTGAGCAGTGCATACCTGTTTACATTTAATTAAGGTGGACTAGATTAGACTGTAATACAAATAGTTGAGTTTGCCAGGTGCATACAACATTTATGACAGGTTTTCATGAAAGTGTTGGTCAGTTTGTCTGCTTGACAATCCCATTTTGCACTGCAACAATAAAACTGAAGTGAGATAAACAAACTGAGAAATGTTTCTTTTTAGTTAAAACAGATGTTGTCAAAGTTTTCCTTTGGGGACATAATTTGAAGTTGGAAAAAGGTAAAAAAAAAATTGCAATATATCGCAGAATATCGCAATATATTTAAATTCGCAATTATATTGTATCGTGACACAAGTATCGTGATAATATCGTATCGTGAGGCCTCTGGTGATTCCCACCCCTAATGTAAAATGAGTGATACCTTGGCTTTATTTGAAAAAATATGATTCCCAATGCACACAAACTTCCCAGAATATGGAGTGCTCTGTTGGTTACAGTTTACTTCCTTTTTAATTATATTTTTATTAAATATTTATTTATTTGTGGAAAATACTTTGTCATCTAAAGTATAAGTATGTTTATTTTACAAATGTATTTTTAAATCCTTTTTCTAATTATTTCAAATTTCTTAAATATTAATTAAAATAAATACAATTATATCGGCTTTATATTGGCCATCGGCCACCCTGCTTTCCAAGATATCGGCATCGGCTGTTAAAAAAAAAACAATATCGGTCGACCACAAATTTTTTCCCCAATATTTGGTCCTCACAAATATAGCACAACAAGTCCACATACATAATACAGGAAAAAGCAGCACAATATGTACCTCTTTAGAATCTGACTGATAATCCTCATTCTCTCTGTCTTTTCTTTATTCTGGCCCTTTTATAAAGCGTGTTGTTAAGGCCCTGATTTGCAAATACCAGGAATTGCTGTAGTGTTTGTTTAGCTCCTATATTCCCGTCAGTCACAGAATATTGACTCTGAGAGCTTTTAATAATCTGCTGTTTAATCCAAGTCCTAACCCAGTAAAATCTGATTTTTTCCTGGGAATCTGCTCGACTGTACCACCTAGTCATTTAGTCACCGGAGTATATGTGTCTGTCCTATCCTTTGAAAATGACGGTCATCGTTCAGTGTTTCTGTTAGACCAGCCACCAGTGTGTGGGTTCACATGTGTGTAAGTGAGTGTGACAGAAGGAGGGTCGTTGCCACTAGATGCAGACGCTCAAAGAATCCTTTCTTCTGCTTTGAAGTCAGTTCAAATGCTCTTTAAAGTGTGTTTGAGAGAGTGGGTGCACATGCAGTCATGTGTGTGGGGTGGGCGGCACTTCTTTCACACACTGTTCTGTGTCATATAGACTATGACTTTAAGATATATTCTTTGTAAACAACTTTACATTATCTTGTGCAGTTTTGCTTATCTTGTTTTACTCAAAAACAGGACACAAATATTGATTAGGAAACCTTTTGTGATTTTTTTTTCTTTTTCTTTTGCAGAGGTTTTACTCAGGTTTTAGGGTCAAATAAAAGCGTCTAATATTAAAAAAAAAGGAATCTAGCTTAAAACATGTCAAGTTTGTGGATGATTTCTTTGTTTTCAAGTTAGTTTCACATTGTTTTAAATAATGTTTATACCATTGTCAACTAAGTTTTTATAAAAAAATGTAATGATGAAAATGTCATGTGGTGTAACCATAAAGTACAAAATAATAACTTATAATACATTTTCCCCGACACCTTGAATTGAGTGTAAACATCTTAATCATAATTTACAAAAAAAGCAAAACATTTTTGAGTGTATTTAGGTAAAGGTAAGTTAAGTTGTTGTTTTTTTTTTGTTGTTTTTTTTTAACTACCATCATGACTTAATTATTCATAAATATTACATTTTGTGGGGGTCGTACCACTTATTATTTTACAATCTAAACTAACCTTTTCTTGTCAAAAAGTCTAATTTTTTAGAAGATGTATTGACCTTGAAATAAAGCCATAAGGGTTTTTATTTTTTTAATAAGGGTCTATTTATTTATTTTTTAATCTATTCTTTCTATTTTTTTTATTTTTTACTATTATTATATTTTAACAGTGCTTATTGTTTTCTATGAATAATTAACTAGAATAATTAAGTCCTTCGTGATTGAATGATGCTTTTTTTCAATTATGATTTAAGGAGAGTTAAGAAATTAAAAACTTAAACGCATCACGGAAGAGGTTATTAATTGCATTATTAATGCATTTTTGAAAATAAAATAAATAGATTTGGGTAAAACCTGAACATCATGTCTTTGAGCATCATATCATTGAGAAAAATGCAGAATATGACAATTCAAGAAAAACTCCAACTGTTATATCCCATTTTAATTATTCACTGGTTTTCACATCAGAAAGCACAATTTACTATAGTTCAAGTACGTTTAACCTCTGCCTTGGAAAACCAGCCGCTTGCTACATAGAAAGCATATGAAGCGATGGCATTGAGTGACTGTGCGAAGTTTTTCTAAGAACCAGTCATATCTGACAGCCATAGAAATAAGTGTTACTTTGCCTGGCCTGTTGATTGGAACGTCACAGTTCAGGATGTCATCATTAGAGCATCCCTTCATCTCACCTCTGCGTTCTCATCTGTCATCCGTCATATAAGCTCAGGTTACCGCCTCCAGCCAGACAGTGCAGAAGTACAGTAAGTATTGTGTGAGCTGGATGTCTACCCATGCAAACACTGCTGCTGCTGGTGTATTTGGTAGACATGCTAATCCACAGCTGTCTCAAGTATATTTATATCTCACTGTGTGGCTCAGAGTGTTATCGTGGGTCATATAATCACTGATCACCTTCTTATATCTGTCTTTGTTAATAGTTGTATTGGAGGTGTGTTCAGTGTATGTTTTGGTGCCCGTAGTCACATTTTTTCCCCTTCTGGTGGCACGTACTTTGTTAAAAAAAAATTATGCTTGTCTGAACTTGAAAAAAAGAACTCAAATCATTTTGACCACACATTTACACATGCTCACGTCTTCATCTGACCACAAGACCTCTATCTGTCTGTCTCGGCTTAATCTCTACAGACAAGCCTGTCTGAACTCACTCACTCTCTCTCTCTCTGTCTCTCTCGCTCTCTCTCTCACACACGCACACACACATGCAGGGAGAGTAAATAGATCCTCTATGCATTCAAAAAGCTCAGTGTCAGCATCTTCCCTGAAACATGTCATTCACAGAGAATTGTGGCTCGAAGGTTATTAAGTACAAGATGAATCGTTGTCACAGGGATTTGCACACACACAAACACACACTAACTGGTGCAGGTCTGTAAGAAAGATGCAACGTTATTGGAGTTACATAAATGGATGGAGGTTTGTGAGGAATAGAGAGATGTTATGTAAAGAGCTGGGGAAGGACAAAGGTTAATATATAGATAAGAAGAGAGAGAGAATGGGATTATATAAGGGGATTAAGAAAGGAGAATTTATCAGTGGGTTATAGTGTTATATAAACAGGCACTAGAGTGACCAGAGCTGTCCTGACAATACCTCCCATCACGTAAATGAACACATAAAAATATATTAACAATACATACAAAAACATATTTAAATATTTATTGGTTTCTTGATGTATCACTATTAAGTGGATTAATTTAAAATGTACACTGCACTGTTGGCTCTATATTTAATTTATTATTTAATATATATATATATATTTTTTTTTACTAAAACACAAAAAAACCCAATTTTTTTCCTTCTGTTTATTTAATCAAATGTAAATGCACTATCAGAAAAAAAATCTATTTTATATTTTTACATTAACAATGTAATCAATGTTCTACTTATTAAAGCTATGTATGAATCTCATCAAGTGAGTATTTTTAAGCATTTTACATTTATTCCAAAATAATAACTCAAGGCAGTAACAATTTAACGATAATTTATTTGTGAACTAATGTTTAGCTGTTCTTTTTGATAGTTAACTTTAACTATTTTTGAATTTTTCAGATCAGCTCGGTAAATATTGTTCACAGACACAGAGATTTACTTTTAAATTTCACCAAGCTGATTACTCACTAAAAACTCCCACAGATCATGTTTTCATGCCAATTAAAGTCATATTTTGACGTAAAAAAGTGGATATATCTAAGTGTGTTGTTTACTTACTTTACTTAGTCTTCCCATTAACGCCATTATTGTTCATTCTGACTGATTCGCGAACACGGAACACACACGAACAACACAAGAGGCGGGATTTATCGAATGAACCAATCATAACCAGTAATATCCAATCACATCACAATGACAGCATTGCCTCCTCTCACGTGAATTTCCCCCATTCATTCTCAATTTCCTCCCACCAAACTGCACACTTTAGAGGGTCTGTTAAAACTCAATGGGCTCAGGGGAGGCAAGAGAGACGCCGACTCCCACTGTAACTTTACCTGCTGGTGTCATTGTTGGACAATATTTCTTTAGAAAAACAATTGTTTTACACACTTCTTAATGTTACATTTTGTAATATCGGTGTTGTTTTATTTTTGCACTGAATTTTTTTCTCATCCAATATTTTGGGGAGACGCTGCCTCCCTTGCAGATACATACATTTACTTATTTAATTATTGCAGAATCTGGATTTTTTTTCTTATTCATTTTACATCTTAACATTTCTTTGTTTTAAACTTTTAATATCCTAATATTTCATTTCAGGTTTAAATTTGATTTCAGAGGGGGCTAATGTGTTCTGCTTGTCTTTGTGCAGGTATTATTACAACAAGAGGATTCTACATAAAACTAAAGGAAAACGCTTCACCTACAAGTTCAATTTCAACAAGCTGGTCATGGTCAACTACCCTTTCATTGACATGGGGTCTGCAGGTACAAAACGAGGACACCCAAATCACATACATTTATTTACGCAATAAAATGCAAAAGCTAAGACCTCCACCTGTGTTTGTCTCTCCACAGGAGCGGCTGTTCCTCAAAGTGCTCCACCAGTGCCTACAGGTCCCCATTTCCGTTTCCCTTCATCCACTCCATCAGACATGCAGGTGCCTGAGGTGCTGCGGTCCCCCAGCAGCGAGGAACTGCGCAGTCCGGGGATGTTCAGCGGCCGCCGTATCGCCCGTGGGTCTGTCTCTGACTGCAGCGATGGAACTTCTGTCAACTCTGAGATCGAAGATGGGAACGGAGGTGCGGCCGAGGAGAGAGTGATGGAAAGAGTGGCTGAGAGAGGAGGAGGTGGAGGTGGTTTCCGAGGTGCCATTCACCCTCGTCTGTCTCACGAAGCGATGTTCAGGATGTACGGTGGACCGGGAGGTCACAGAGGTCATCGAGTGTCAGAGGTTGGCGGACACAGGGTTCATCCCGAGCCTCTCTCGCCGTTCACCATCTCGCCTCTGCCTGGTCCGGGAGGCCCAGGCCTGCTGGCGCCGCCTCTCTCGCCGGCGCTCTCCATGACCCCAGGCTCTCACCTGGCCTACACACCCTCCCCTACTCTGTCGCCCATGCTTGGCTCCATCTTCTCCTTCAACCCAGAGGACATGCAGTACTACCTGAAGGCTCACACCCAGAGTGTCTACAATTACCACCTGAGCCCTCGTGCCTTTTTTCATTACCCACACATCATCGTTCCTCAGCCCCAGCGCCCCGACAAAGGCATGCCCAGACCCCAGGGCTGTGATCGCGGCCCTGCCGAGAGGCCCTCGGTGCTCAACAGCCATCACTCCAGCCTCCCGCCGCCTCACGCTCACCCGATTCACCATCACCTGGGGGAGGAGCAGCACCATTCTCCATTCAAGTTCAAGCTCCAGCCTCCCCCGCTGGGCCGAAAACAGCGCGACAGTCAGGGTCGACAGGGCTCGCTGTCCTCCTCATCTACATCCGGTCTGGGCTCCTCATTGTCATTTGGGAGTGATCTCAGTTCAGCCAGCGGATCAGGACTGGTGTCCAACTCCTCCTCAACTGGGTCGCTAAACAGCGCTGGGTTGCCCAAGATTAAGGTAATCAGGAATTAGGTTCTGTACAATCACATGCACCATTAAAAGAGTTTTTTCTTCCTTGTTTTTTGTTTGTTGAACATAAAATGGATGGTATGATTCAAGTCGGACTAAAGGTTCTTGCACACTGAGTCCGAAATTTTTGTATGCATTTTTTCATATTCGTCATCTTTTCCTATCAAAATGCTTGCTACGGATGCAATAACGGAGAAAATCGAACCTGGTCCAATTTTTTTAATGACAGACAAAAGTTTCGGAGGCAGTATGTAAACTTGATTGACACAACATGAGGTTGTATTTATTTTTTAACATGCGCAAAAATTTGGACGAGAATTTCGGACTCAGTGTGCAAAGACCTTAAGGCCTGGAATGCACCATGCAACTTATAAAAAGTACTAAGCATAATACACTTGCTGACTTTGTAAATGGTTACAAAGAAAAATGGACCATCATACACCAAACCAGTGGTTCTCAAATCCAGTCCTCACGGCCCTCTGCTCTGCATATTTTGCATGTCTCTCTTATTTAAGACACCTGATTCAGATAACCAGCTTGTTAGAAGAGTGCTCTATGCATGAACTGTGTTCCGATTGACTGGGTCCCTACACAGTGTTCATTGCTCCCTACTCCCTGAGCACTGGAAATCGGCTGAAGTTCACTTTACTTCAGAACATTCATTCACGGATTTGCGCCACGACCTGCAGTGTCTTCACACACAGATGAAACTTACTGGAGAAGTGTGAAGTGTGACATAATGTACCTCTATAAATAAATTAAATTTAAATTCACGTCTCGCACAATTTAATGCCCTTTGAATGAAACATATACGCTCCCTTCGAACTGGAATCTGGAATCAGTATCCTGTTTAGTCCACTTCGTAGGGCACTAAAGGTCGAATAGAACAAACGTCTGTAGTGATAAGAGATACATACAAAATGTGCAGAGTGGGGGGAACTGCACCAAACGACTGAGGATCACAGACTGCAAGTCATTCCAAACTCATAAAGAAACTCTTTTAGCCTAGTTGCTAGAAGACACATGACAAATTAAAAGTTTTCTAAAACTGGCTCAAAATATCAAACATGTTTGATGTCCTCTGACTGGATGGAATCAGTCTGAAGTGAAAAAAAAATGTATGTATGTAGATGTGACCATGATACACTACGCAATTTTCTGAAATCTATAAACTCTGACTTTTGGCAGCTAGCATTCATTCTCCATGCTGCAAATCAGGGCAAAAATGTGGGCAGAAGTCATGAAGTGTATTCCCGCATTAAAGTGTTTACAGTGAAACACAAAACTTTTAAAGCGCATGTAAACGAATGTACTGATGGGTGTTCACACTGACTTCAGATGTTCAACATGTAAAATAGGTTCTAAAAATGAAGCAGTACATCTCTAATATTTCCTGGACAAGTCAGAAAATATCTAAATATTGAAACATTTTGAGGGCTTCCTTGAACAATGGCGAACAATCCATTAATCTATCCAAACTTTTTAGGGAATGATAAAAAAAATTCTTAATCAGACTGGTTTTAAAAAATTGTCACTTTTACATGTGTGATGCTTAATTGTAACAGGCTTAAAGTCAAGAGTTCCCACAGTCCTAGAAAACCTAAAAATAGGTCATTTCAAAAGTGTAATTTTCAGGCCTAATTCTAGTTATGCTCTGTTATAAATTAATTCTTTGCCTTGAAATTGAGCATGATATTTAGTGCAAAAACTATTTTTTAAAAGTCCTCTTTCAGCCATCACAAACAACTGGAAAATTCATGGAAATTAGTCCATAACACCCAACACTGTTTTGACACTACATGCACTCTCTCTCTCTCTATAGGTCGAGCCCATATCTGACATTGAATCAGAAGAGGAAGTCGAAGTGACTGACATCAGTGATGAAGACGCTGATGACAGAGATGAAGAGTTTGACGTTTTCCCCTCTCACTACCATAAACACCGTCATCATCATCATCACCATAATCATTATCCTCATAGCCAAAAGCACCAACAGCCCAACGGCACAGATGCCGCTCTCCACCCAGATGAGGACTTGGAGGAGGAGGTGTTCAAAGCCCCCGCCCCTCCACCCTTCTTCCTCCCTCCCACCTCTTCCTCAGGCGATAGCCGGCGCGGTACCACCATTGTGAAGAGCGAACCCGTGGAGCCAGCGGACATGCAGCTGGCCTCCAGCGGCCTGCCACAAACCAACTCCCAGTGTATCCCACTGAAGCTCCGGTTCAAACGGCGATGGGACCAGGACCAGCACATGGAAGAGGCGGAGGACAAGAAAGTGAGAGGAGAAGAGAGGGGGAGAGAGAGGAACGGGATGGCGGAGGAGAGTGGCAGCGGAAGCGGGAGCGGAGAGGCAGAGAGCCCACCTCCTCTCGCTCATCACAGAGTTAGCGCCGAGCTCCACCGAGCCACGGCACAGCTGTCACTGGAGAACAAGGAGTGCTGATACGCATCGACACACCTAGACGACTGCTGATACACAACTCTACAACTGCTGATGGACCCACACTCACACGTGACTCTTTTAAGATCAATGACTGCTGATACTGACAACAGTAATACTGACATATACACTGCATACTTAGACTAACTGACCCTTGCTTAATCGAATCCCGTTCCCCAGGCTACCCTTGTTCCCCCGCCAGCACACGTTCCAGTACAGCTCATCGTGACCGTTATGAGGAATGAGTTCACCCACGTGCCCCAGCGACCCTCAGGAGTCATGAACTTTGACCTTTGGCACTAGAGTATATTTTATATTTTTAGAAGAGAATTTTATTTTGCAAAGTGCCTGTGAGCTGTCCCTCAAAACCCCTCAAAGAGAGCTAGAGACGGGCCTCAGAAAGACTGGTCTGGTTCGAGGGACTTGATCTTTTTCTCCAGCAGCCCAGCATTATTTTCCTCAGCGACAGACTGTGATCAGTCTCGATGTGATGTGGTGGGATACAAATGCACAGAAAGTCACAAACAGACACTGTTCTAAAACCAGCCTGTTCAGAAGTCCGAACCCTCAGGGACAAAATCCCTCAACACACACAAACAAACAAACAAACACACACTCAGCCATGATCCCGTTCTTATTCCCTGTATGAAACGTGTGTCTGATTCGAGTTTGATTGTGTGTGTGTGTGTGTGTGTGTGTGTTTCGGAAATCTAGCTGTGTAAGTTCTCAGGATATCTTCCTCCTTTCCTTTTCTATCCAAACCAGCTCACCTTAAAACTTTCGCTCTGTTTTTTTTTTTATCCCCTCTGGGACCATACCTGAATCACAAACTGAAATTACAGTTTGAAGGTAATACACATTAGGGAGCTTATAACAAGCTTCCCTTGTATAGTCAGTCCTTTAGCGTGAACTAAACCAGCATCCCACACAAACACACACACAAGCTTGTACAGTAATACTAGACCAACTGGGACTCAATTTTCAAGAAAAAAATATCGTCTTATATTCGGGACAATACGGTATTTTGGCACTTGATGATGTACCCTTTAGAACCAAGTGCTGATTCTTTGTCCTGATTAACTGTCCTTCAGCCATATAGAACAGCCGCGGACTCCTATGAGGGAGAGGTGAAATAGCAGTTTCAATCCGTAATCCCAACATTTAAATACTAACTTGAGTATAGAAAGACAGTAGAAGGCATGTTGCCAGAAGTCGCACTCTCTCACACACACACACACACACACAAACACCCACACACTCACTCACACACTGCCTCGTATGCCTTGTTTTAATAGCATGTCTGAAAAGGAAATACAAAAATCTTTAAAAAGAACAGTATACACTCAATATACCTTTATATATTATGTGTTACACATACTATAAATGGGAAGCATAGCATTAACAGATGTATCAGTTTCAGGGGGTTTTGTAACAGATTTTGTTTTGAGGGGAAGGTTGACTCTTCTCCTCAGGGATAATGTTGCTATTTGGGTAAGGGAGGAAAATGTTGCTTTTCTTATCACGTTAATAAAAGGTGGGGTAGAGATGAGTGAAAAACTAAATTGTACACAAGACTCTAACAAAGCGAGCACGAGAGCTTTGCACCACAGATGATGTGGCACATTCGGTTCTTTAACCAGCACGCACCTCCTCATTATCCTGTTCCTACTGCTACAACTGATGTGTGTGTGTGTTTGACAGAGGCTGCAGGTCTCTGTGCATGTACGTCACACCACACCCAAGGCTATAATTCTTTTGAAATCTTGCATCGTGAACCTCATAAACCTGTGTGCACTAAAGCCCTGTGGAAGTTGAGCACAGGACTTGAGACATCAGCGGGGTGGCCAGTCGGACACTAGCCACGATATAACGGTTTTCCAGTGACAGGAAGGAGTTATATCATGGCTGAGGTGTCTCTAATACCTAAGATCATGCATAAGACAAAATTGAACTGGCAACGGTGTCACCTCCTCAAAGTTTTGGACTCGTTCTAGCTGCCTTATTCCCACTTTAATCAGATTTGATTATGATCTCCTCATGCTTTCTTATTCGACGAGTCAAGTCTTTAACCAGGGTGCACTTGTTTTACGCCCGGCATACCTCGAAATTGAAAAAATTTGAGATGGAGTGAGCAGTATTGACCAGTGCGGTCTGTAAACTTTAGTTTGGGCACAAAGTGAGTGCGTTGTTTCTTTTTAGGAGGCAAGTTATTTGTTTTCTCTTAGGCTGCTCTCGTTGGTTATCCCAGGATGTCACTTTTTCAAGTCGAATGATGTTTTGTTTTGTTTTTCACCCGAACTGCTCATGTTTATCTGCTCTCTGATGTCAATGTTGCTGTTCATCCTAATTATTATTAGTTATTATCATTATTTTGTTGACATTTTCTCCTCGTGTTGTAGTCATGATAACATTGTATACAATACTGTAAGAGATCTTTTTAAGAATGTTTCCCCCAGCCCTGCCTTCCCACGAGCAACCCGATAGTGTGTTTAGTGTAACATTTAAAATGTTGTAAATTAACGTAAAACTGTAACTTTAATATAGGTGGTTATTGTGGAGAGATATAGGATGGAGGAAGGGCATTCAGGGGAGGATCGGGCTTATGATTTGAACTCAAGTCACGTCATGTAATTGTTATTTTGTAGTGTTACTGATTTCTTGCTCTTGTAAATTTTTTTCATCGGGGGATTGTATGATTTTAAAATATATATTGTGTAGTTTTATTGTGTAAAAGTCTCTCTCTCTCTCACTTTCCTTCTCAACATTTATATCTGTGGTTCCATAATTCATAATAACAGGTTTTAATACCATGATGTAACACTTTAATTCCTCCTTTATTCGTTTTTGTGTTCTTTTTCAGAATTGTAATTAAAATGTAATCAGGGTCTATTAAACTGGTTAAAAGCCATCTGGTTTCTGCAACTTTTTTTTACAACACAAATGCGTCCATTTTAGTCATGCAAGTAGAATCTCCTTTCCAGAGTTTTGTAGAAGCTCCTACTTGTGTGTATTTTTTGTTAAAATTGCAACAATTAGCATCTTAGGAGGCCCACAGGTCTGTAGAGCTACACTCTGATGCAGTGCAAACATGACAAACAAGTCAATTAGTAAATAAAAGAATAAATGAATAAATAATACAATTATAATTCCATGCAAATCAATATACTTTAAATGACCATTCGCTATTGAGAAGTTCTTTATAAATTCATGTTGTGTATCCAGCCTGTTGATATGATAAATAACATAGACTCTTTAAGACTGGCCTCTGCTGTCTGAAAAGCAGAAGTACAAGCCTTATCAACCATCTAAAATCATCACCATTGATTTTTGGAGACATCCCTCAAATCTTTTTGCTCATACAAATGATATATGTATTACAAACATGAAAGTAAATTTAAATAATATTGCTAAATAAAATTATTATTATTTAATTGTATGGGGAATAAGAATGACATAATCCGATGATGAGCAATTAAGCATTTTATAATTAGCATTTTGTAACTTCTATTATGATGTGTGTTATGAGGGGCCACATATGTGTCACTACTTGTCTACTAAAGACCAGTAAACCTTTTTTCCCTCAGTGTTCCACTTTATAGCATCTGCTTTCTTGTTAAGTGTGTGAAGGTGAAAGTAGAAAACATACACAGAGATGTAACTCTTTTAACTTAGTGCAAGAACAGTTTCAAATGGACCATTTTATGTGAATTTTGAACTTGACATTGTCTGATGATCTTAATTCACATTTACTATAGTAACTTTTTGTATGTACTACTGATTTAACTTAATCAGTAGGTTTCAGGTCTGTCTACTCATTCAAATCAATGTTCTTTATGAGCACTGACTGAATAAAAAACTTTCAATAGACCGATTGTGGGATTCAAATAAAACCTGTGATTATATTTCTGCCTCTGGTTATTCTCATCATCCCTGTGATGTTTTGTTTTGTCACATTCTCTGTCTGTCGTCTCCCTTTTACTTCTTTTATCACTTCAGTCATAGTCTACATTTCAGAGAACTAGAGGAGGGAATGCAGTTCGCTGTGGCACAGTGGGAGTGTAGGGTAGAGGGATAGATGTATGACAGCTGATTGACAGCATAGCAGAACCAAAAGAAAGGGGTCGACATCATGGAGGGGGTCAGGTCAAAGGGCAGGGCTCTTGGGAGAAGAAGTGCTAATAAGGGGGTATGGCACTTGAGTACTACAAAAGTGCTTTATTTTAAATTCTCTATTTTCATCTTCAATGAAAAGTGCGCTAAAGATCTTCACCTTGTTCTCAGTGTTTTGAATAATCCTAAACCACCACACAGTGGCGCGTGGACGTATGTTTATAGTTTTGTGCTTATCAAGATAAAACCGACAGAGGTCGCTGTACATTGCTTAAACATTTGAGGATGGCGCTTGAGAGTACTTGATTCTGTCTACAACAGCGATTATGTAACGACGTCTTTGCTTCTCAAAAGAAATTCACTACGAACATTCATTCGATGAATGTAGATGTGCGCTTCAATGCGTCAGTATGTCTGAATATGACTTTCAATGCTTGAACGGGCTACGTTTGAAAAAAAAAAACTAAAAAACTTGTACATGTATTTAAACAATATTTTTAAAGTATGCTATTTATTTTTCCAGCGTGTTTTAAAACTGTCTTATCGCTTTCATCAGTCGCTAGTATGTTGTCCTACTACGCACCAAGCATGGGGTTAGGCGAGTACGTCAGACCACGCCCCTTCCATCCAGCTGGTGGCAACATGCTTGATGACTTCATCGCTGAGTTTGATCATTGGCTCGTCGACGCGGCCCCTCTGGCCAATCACACAGCGGCACGATGACGTCACCTCCAAAATCCTGCAAGGGTTGTATGGATGGGGCGGGGCACAACGGCACATACGTTAGAGACAGCGGATTGCGGCGCAACGATTGGTTCTCGCACACGAGGTGAGGGGCTGTTGCTGAGAGAAAAGCGAGGCAGTGGAAAAAATTGAGAGCGAGAGCGACAATAGTCCATCCCGTATTCACAAGCATAGTAGTGTGAAAGTGAAATGGTTAGTCAGGGACCCGTACAAGGGGGCTTTATTGTGATTAAACGAATCAGTTTAGTGATTTTACCTTTCTTTTCATCCTCAGAGCTTAAATTTGTTTAATATAGCAAACAGTATTAAAACGGAAACGTACGGGTTTTTTTTTTTGTTTAGAAACATTCCTTGCCGTTCAGGGGAAGTGAAAAACCAGTGATTTTAGGATTAAGTGTAGCGCTGTCGTTTGTGGTAAACACGCACCTTTATTTAGAGAGCGAAAAAAAAATAAAAAAATTAAATCGCGTTATTGGCCAGCGCTTCTTGAACACTTCCCTAGTGCCCGCCCACACCCTGTTCCTATGGTTCCCAGCGCTCTCATTGGATACTGTAACTTTTGGAGCGAGCGCCGGCTTGGTATCTAGCTTCATTGCGATTGGCCCAAAGCGCCTGCCAATCAAATGGAATAAACCACTGAGAAACGCCTCTAAATTTGTGCTGTCACATCCATAGGTTACTGTATCAGTCAGTGCGCTCTGATTGGCCAGGCGGGCCAGCTGTTAGTGGTTCATTCACCATTTTGTGACTGTAGTGGAAAAGGGATTCATATAGTTTTTAATCCCTGTCTGAGTTGCTGTTGGGAGGGGGTAAATATGTTTTACGGAGGACCGATATAAAGTAAAATTCCCGACAGACAGAAAACATGGATGGACGTTGCTCGCCACTTCAGACGACAGGACAGAGCCCATCTGCAATTTGCACCGTAAATTCATCGGTTACCTCCTAAGTATTTCTGCTGTTTTGGTAAGTAGTTATTACTCAAACGAATCCACCGCTAATATTAGTGACAACCCGTATTTTAGACACGAGTGTTGTGTGCAAAAGACAAATGGAGAGCAAACCAGCTCGCTAAAATATCAAGGAAGGACCTAGAGCAAGAAAGCGGCAGGGGGTGGGGATGCA